ACATACATATGTATGTACATATATGTGCACTGATCCGTTTGTGTCACAACGTCGTCTTTGCGTACATACACCTGCTATATATGTATAATGATTTATGTTATTTATTTCATGCGCATTTACGTATATGTATATAACATGTACGTAAAAGCCACATTGAAATATTTAAGATAATGTTAGTCAATATATAGAAGTAAATGAATAACAGATATATATATGTACATATTATATATAGAGAAAAAGAAAAAATAAAATAGTTAACTAACTGGTAAAATATTTGTCAAAGGTTATTTTGGTTCTACAAATATTTAATTTCTTACAGCCAAAAAACGAAAAAGAAAAATGAACGCAACTTAGGTGCTAGGAGAATTACATAATAATACGTTGTGTATGAGACTTAAATATATATGTGTATATATGTACTCGTAATAACTTGTAAATAAATTATGTGTAAATGTGCACTTAATAATGAAAATTAGGTTAATTTTTAGTAAATAAAATAATTTTATATTTTCTTTATATTATTTTCACGTATACATACTTGAATAAATTTTTATAGAACTATTAAAAATTTTCCAACCATTTTAATTAATTATTATAATTTTCTCTTATATATATACGTGTGTGTATATATACAGTAATGATAATTAGTTAATTATTATTTAATTTTAAATAATTATGTACAGGTGTCCAATAGCAATTAAAATAGAAAATAATATTTATAGTGTAGGTATTTAATTATATAAGTATAATTTATATTATACGTTTTATAATTATTATGCCCGAACTAACAAATGTTTAAAGGACATTATTAATTTACTACTTCATTTTTAACAATTTTTATGCAATTAGGAAATAGGCATCTGAGTAATAAAGACACAAGTATATATTTTTGATTGGTGTCGAATTTTGAGTCGAATTAACCATCTCTTTCTGTCCTTCCTTCCATCCACCCTTTCTTAGATCCGCCCTTCCATTTTACGATTCGTTCGTCCTACTAACACCCTATTTTATATGGCTTCAATCAAAGCAGTAGTTTGATTGAAGCCATATAAAATAGGGTGCTGAATTGATCTTATTACACGAACTGTAAAATTAACAGTGTTGCATTAATGAATGAAATAACTGGATGAATTTTTGATCAGGATTTAGTTGTGGTGCAAAAAGATCTTGTAGTAGCTGTAATACAAATCTATAAATAATTTAATTATGTGGTAATTACAATAGTATATGATTAAGGTATTTTTCAATTATTTTGACATACGTGAGAAATTTTTTTCTTGAAATATACTAATATTTTGGAGCGTTCGTTATAAGTTGGTACGAATATAATTACGTACCAACTGTATACATACCAAAAAAAGTTATAAATATCATAATATTTTGTTCTTGCATATTCAATAATATATTATTAAATAAAAGAATAATTAAATTAACTCCCAATTGGAATATTTTATTTTTTCACTGTGTAAAAGGTGTTAGTAGACTAGTAAGAGGTGTTAGTACTAGTAAAAGGTGTTTTATTCTTTGGTTGAGCTCTAATATGCTTTTTGTTGAATTTCTTTTAAAATAATACATTTTAGGTACGTAAGAATATAAATGCATATAAATACATATGTACATATATACACTGATTAGTTTGTGTTACAATGTCGTCTTTGCGTTCCTTATTATTATTCTACGTAGAGTTTCACGCCGATTTTTATTGTTATTAAATTAAATGAACATTATTTATTTGCACAAAATTTATTCCAAATTTTGCTAGTCTTAATATAATAAGTAATAAAACTTATATTTTCTTATAACTTTTGGCCATAATCACATTCAATAACAATATAATTTTAAAACAGAATTTGTATGCATAATAAAATATTCATTGGACTTGATCAAATATTTAACTGAATAAAATTTTATAAATAATTAAATTTACAGAATTACATAATTAATTATTTGTAACTTTAATAATATAAGTACACCCAGAATATTAAAAATACCAATAGGCATGAGATATTCTTTGAACACAAAATGGCACAAGACACTTTTAAAGTAAACCCTTACAAAAAATTTAAAAAGGATACAACATTGTATAATTTAATTCTTTTTGAGTTTTGTACATATATAAATTTAAGACCTTCAGAAAATGAGAAAAAAAGTACAAAAAATTTACTTATTTATTTACTTTTATGAACTAAAAAGAAAATAAAAAATTGATTTCCAATTTTTAAAAGGGAGGCAAAAAAAAGGGAAGTTTTCAAACCCCAACACATTCAAATCTCTTTTCTTTTTTCGTTTCTAACACACATTATTTAAATAATATAAAAATAGAATTTTCAAGGACATAAAGAAATAAATATGAAAATGAGCAAATATTTAAGAAAGAAAAGAAAAGAAAAAAAATTAGAATACAATTTGCATGAAAAGATGCGATTATCCCGTTTATTTGTTATTCCCACATTCATATATATTGTGCTATCCTTTTCAATGAATACCTTCACATGATATTTAAATATTGAAAAAGAATATTTATCTTTTTATCATTTATTTTATCCTTATAATATAATATAAAAGAATTAGGGGTACGTTCCATATTTAGTTATAATGTTAACAGAATTGATATTGAGGATTTTTATTATTTTTCTTTTTCTGTTTTTTGTTTTTGTATTATTTTCTTAGTCCTGACTGATGAGATAAATTTATATGATAATTATCTTTATATTGCATTTAAGCACACACTCTTTTATTTAATGTTTACACGTCCGTCCATACTGATACAAACATTTTTTCTTCATACATTTTGGGTATAAGGACTTTAAGGATATAGGAAACTTTATTCACATATGTGTGAGTGGGTGTAGAGGAATATAAAAAAAAATTATTATGAAAATGAGAAAGAAAAAAATTTGTTTTTTTTTGCATACTTATTGAAAATCAACTCATGAAAATAAAAAGGATATTATGGATTTAAATTTTTTAGAGTTCTGAAATTTTCAATAAATTTTCATAAAAAATAAATGCAAAAATAACAAATTTTAAAAATTTTTTAAAGAGTGTTAATGAAATTCATCGGTGTCATTTGATTTAAAAATTCTATTAAATTTAAATGCTTCATAATTAAATAATATTACTCTCTAGTTACTAAAATGAAATATTACTTGTCTTTGCAATATTTTTGAAAAAAATTTCCTTAATTTCCTAAGATTGAAAAGTATTAGCACGAGTATGCTAAATTCAGTATATTTGAGTTCGTTGAAACAAATTTACTCCCCAATTGAATTCAATGATGTTTTTTTCTTATTGACTATTGGTGTTACTTATGAAATATGAAAATTGAAAAAAATATTTTAAACTAATTAGGATTTCATTTCGGGATGTGTTGAAAAATTTTGAATCCAGCTCAAGAAATACTTTTGATTAGAAATGCAGATGTATTAGAGCACAATACACTTGGGGCAAACTTAGTAAAACATTTAACAGTTTATTAAAGATAGTCTGTAATCTTTGCATTGCAAGCAATAAAGTACACGAAATATACTATATAAATCTAACGACAGTTCTCATTATTGGCATGATTCTCAATATTGTACTGTGAATAATGAGAAAAATTAAAAATATAAAATACTCAATATTTTAGAAAAATATTTTAATTATATATTTTCCACCCACGTCCAATTATTAAAAATTTTCATAAAATTTTCAATAAAACTTATAATTACCTTATATTTTATTAGTTATGATTTCCCTTATTAAAATTAAAATAAAATCCTGTGTGCAAGGTCAGAAATTATAAAGAAAAATTAAAATTAATTTCTTTCAATTTTTTGTAGAATACGAGTATATAAATAATTTTTTTTTTTTTGTAAATACACATATATCGAAAAATAATATAAAGAAAATGATGTAAATGTATAATAATATGGTCTCTGTATAGAAGTATAAGCTTTTATTTCTGTACACGTGCATGACCTAAAGGCATAAAATATAAAAGCAAAATAAATTTCCACCACATTCCAATATAATTTTTCTTATTACTATATTTTATTTATTTATTTTACTTTTTTTCTTTCTATGAACACTTTATTATTTAATAAGGATAATTGATATATATACGATGTTCCTTTTAAGAATCTTTCTATAATTAATAATTATTTTTCATTTTCAAATAATCTGATTTTCTTATTTTAATTTTTTCTTGTTTAATATCAGAAAATCTCCTGTATTTTACATATATTATTACTCGTATATTACTATGTATATTACTCGTACATATAAACGTAAACAAATTTCCTTTATTAATATAAAACAAAAACAAATTTCTATTCATTCAAAATATAAGTCATTTAATTTAGAAATCATCTTTGATTCATTCGATATATGACGCCTACGAAATTGCTATGCGTAAATCAATAAAACCCAAAGCGGAGAAAAGTCTAGTAAGGTCGTCTGTTTAACAATGATTAAATTGTATAAATTTCTTTAAAGAATTAAAAAGTAATTTTATTGAATTTCAATATTTAATATAGTTATTATTTGTATATTGAATAAATATTTATATTTATATATTTATATAAACAACAATAATTTTAAAAAATTCCATAGAAAAATTATAAATAAAATCAATTACAATTTTGATAAGAAATAAAATTTATTTTAAGATTTAGTAAAAGTTTTTAATTATGATTCAAAGAAAAATTTAATTGCTTTAAGTCTCAAAGACTTTTTCAAATACAAAATTTAATAAATACAAATAAAAAATAGTGAGAAAGTTCATGGGAACTACGAACTGAAAATGAGAATTTTTACAATTTTGACCAAAATAATATTGAGATGTAGAAATAAATACTATATCGTAACATTGAAACAATAAAAATTCTTTAACTTACAAAAAATTTCTGCAATCATGTAAACAATATTCAGTTAAAAAGCAAAAGTTTTCTCCATATAATCTCAAATTTTCTAATTTTACTTCGTGCAACACATCTTTCGTTATAAATGGTGTTCGCATAATATATTTAACAGGCTGTAGCTCGAAAACGAGTACATCTCCGACGCCCCTCGTGCCCATACAATTTTTTGCTGGAAGTTGATCAAAGAATCATCCCCAAAATGATTTGCCACCTTATGCGAAATAACCTGTATTTTAAAGTTTTGCAAAATTATCAGAACCAACTTTTAAAATTAAAAATAAAAATTCAATTCTTAAAATTATATCATTTACATAATTTTTAAATCTAGAGGAATGAGATAATAACAAGCACAAGTTTGTTTTTAAAAAATCAATAAATTTAAATATTTAAGTAAAAGAAAAAAGAAATTATAGCATACAAAGTTACAATCCCTTATCTTTTCTAAAGTAACACCTGGTTATTTTCAAATGTTTAATTTAATATTTACATAAATTTTTTCTTTTTTTCATTTCACAGAACAATTTCAAATATTTTTTACGATTTCATTCTTAAATTTTTCAAAAATTTCTTTTCTATAATCCTTATACATATGTATATACTTGAATATTATCAAGAAACATAAAGAATAAAACCGAAAAAGGAAATCATATTCCATTTTTTTTTTAATAGACAAAAATGAAAATAATAAACAAGGAATAATATTAAAAATAGAAGCAAAAAAAAATGAAATCCTAATTTAAATATCCTTCCTGTTTCTATATTATTATACCTTGAATATACCTTAATAATATAACAATAATTTAAAATGAAGTAAACAAAGATTATTTTCGTTTTTTTTTTGTATTAAAACAAAAACTAACACAGACGCACATACACACACACACATTCTGTATGCAAAGGCAAAAAAAATTTTCTTTGTTTCCTTCTTTTTTTTTTGGTAAATAATTCATTAATTTACATTGAAAATTCTCTTAATAGACATATTCCGTCAATTGGAGTAAAAGAGATCTCTATATTTTTTAATGTATTATATGCATATACATATTATGTATACCTAGAGTATTAGAAAAGAAAAGGAAATAAATAATAAATTTCAGGCATAAACAAAACAAACTAAACTAACTAAATAAATAATAACGATTTAAAAGAAATGATGTTAATTTTTATTTCCAGTATCAATTGTCCTTGCACATCCTTAAAATGAAAGAAATGAAGGAAAAACAAAAATTATTTATTTATAGTAGTATCAAACAAGTGGTGTCCTATTTTTCTCTGTAACAACAAAACTGTAGAATTGAAACCAACAAAAAACAAAAAAAACAAAAAATTTTTTTTTCGACTTTAGTCCAATTCTTATTTTTAATATGAAAAAAGCATAGAAAAGGATCACAACATCAATTGAATCCACTTATAATAAAGAATAAGGACAAAATTTTTCCAGTAGGAGGAAATTAAAATCAGAAATATTCCGCAACCAAAAAAAAAAAAACAGAAAAAAACCAGAAAAAGGAAAAACAAAAATAAAAAAATTTTTCTTGACAAGTTGGCAACAAATCAGATTGACCATCATTTACTTTCAGAATTAAAATGGAAAAGTTTTCCTTAGATTTTTTTTTCATATTATTTTGAATTTTCTATTTGTTATATTTTTCTTACCCCTCTTTTATATTGCTCTTTTCTTGGTGTTTTATTTTTTTTTTCAAATTTTCTCTTTAATTTCGTCTCTTTAAGAAACTCTTTATTGTTGAAATAAATGGCAGAAAATGAACAATTTTTTATAAAAAACCGAATACCTCCATAAAAATTATGAATATGACTTTATTCCAAAGCAAAGATAAAGGTGCTTTTGCATAGAAATTTAAGATTGATTTTAAGTTAACTTAAATAAAACGTAAAGTGTGAGAAAGCAAAGAAATTTCATAATGAATTTTTTGAAATTTAGCTAGCAATTAATTGCTATGGCTAATAAAATCCCGTCTAACGTACATACACATTCGACATTACGTAGTAAAAGCATATTTAAAAATAATATCGTAAATCTTTTTGTCAATTTTCCGTCAAAGTCAATCTATAATTTTCATTCTCATAAAAAATCCTAAATTGCTTAAAATATTCAATTTATGAGAGACTTGCCATAACAAAACTCATAATTTTAAGGACTCGCTGAATACTAACAATTTCTACGTTTTCGAATTGTAACTGCAACATTGTTTTCTTTATAAAAAATATTTTATATTTTAAATAGCCCGCAATAACAACAATAAAAATAAAAAATTTTAAGAAGAAACCTAATAAGGACGAAAAGTATTAAAATACAAAATGAAAAATATGTACATACATACCCAAAAGAAAACAAGAAACAAAAAAAAAAGAAAGAATAAGTTGTGGGAAAATATCCTAAAAATGAAAAGTTTTCCCTTAAAACTTAATGGCTTTAATAAACGGATTTTATTTCTTTTTTTTCGGCTCTTCTTATTTGCTTTTTCTCTGTAACCAAAGCGGACTCGGACTTCTGGTACCTTTTGTTAAAAAGATAAAAGGGTTCGGACATTGAATCTCTTCTTCAAGGATTTGTTTTTTTTTTATTTTTTATTATTCTTTGCTTCATTTTATTTTTATTTTTCTGAAAATGTGGAAAAAAAAACATTGCCTTTTTTGTGTTAAATAAAAAGTTTCCAGTATGAGTTTTTTATTTATTTTTGTTTTTTTTTATTTTGGTATTTTTTTTTTCACTTTGTCCCGTTCATTTCATTTTCATAATATTTTTAAAGTTGTGTTGGGGAGTTGAGTAGCTAAGGGAAAAACTAAAAAAAAAAAAACTCGTTTTGTTGGTTTCCTTCTCACTTTTGTTTTTTTTTTTATCTATATTCTTTTTTCTTTTATTAGCTGTTAAAAATTTAATCATTTGTAAAAATATGAAAAACTTAAAAAAAAAAACAAAAATTATAAAATAAAAAAAAATATTTAATTAAATAAGTTGTTAACGGTAAAGAAGCTTATTAATTTTTATTTTTTTTTTTAGAGAAATAAAAAAAAACAATGAGGAAAAATAACACAAAATGTAAATTGGTTAATAAAAACAACAAAATAAAATTTCAAAGGATATTAGAAAAGCAATTTGTTTTGGCTTTATAAAAATAAGCAACCTAAATTTTCTGTTCTCATTTTTTGGAATTTAAATATTTTTTTCTTAATTACTTTGTGATTAAAGATTGAATATTTTAATTTTTATATTAATATACATAACTATATTTCTAAATAATTTAACAATAAAAACGTAGATTTTTTGATTTTATTCAACACAGTTCTTATTATAATCCTTATTTCAAATAAACAATGTACACTAATCTCGAGAAAAAGCATAAGGGACCATTTAATTTCAAATGCAATGCAATAAATTTAAAATGCAATAAAATCTATTCAGAGTCGTTCATTATTTCTAGAAATACACATAACATTTGATTTAGTAGTTAAAAATATTAATGCAAACATTATTTCTCAAATTGTTTTAAATTAAAAATAATTTCTGTACGATTTTATAGCGGTAGATAAAATCGAATTCAAAAACTGCCAATTCTTAAATAAATGAATAAATTTGTTCCCGATATTTCGAATTTTTTCGACAATAATCACAATATCATTGAAATATTAGTTCAAATACAAGTAATTTTTGTAATTTTGCTCTAAAATTTAATACATAATTGAAAATGTTTTTAGGAAATCCTCTTTCAGTAAAATTAACCTTAATATATCGTATTTTATAAGTAAATTTTTCTTTCTGTTAAATATAAATAATTATTATTTTATTACACTCATTGCAGCTCTCTTGATAGTATGTGTAAATTTAGTAATAGTATCGATAAACTTAAATTTACAATATTAAATTTTTCAGCACTTGAATTTTTCGAACACATTTTTTGATTATTTTTTTTTTTTTTCGTTCACTCCTTTCGAGAGCATGGGACCTCCACATAGCCTGCCCATCTGACACGGTTGTGGACTAGATGTTTAACTTGTGGTCTTGCCGCTTTCTATGAATTGTTTGTTTATTGTTCGAAGCCAAGTCATTTTCGGCCTTTCAACTTTATTATGCTTGATGCGATATCACAGCCTGTGGTCTTCTTAACGTTTGTTCCAACCAGCACCATTTCCTTCTTCTTATCTTTAGGAAGGCGGGCTCCTCACATGTAAGCTTCCTCAGCTCAACATTCGATATTCTTCTTAGCCAGAATATTCCTTACATCTTTCTGAAGCACTTATTTTATGACCATCTGAACACTATTAATGCTGGCCTAATTTGCGTACCAGGTCTCAACCCCATACAATTAATTCAAGTCTCGAATAGCCTTAATTTGGTTTCTCTGCTCATCCCGGATGATCTCCACACAACTCGCATTTCGTTAGTAACACTATACGAATTTTAAAATGCGGTAATTAAACATTTTACCACATAGTCTTCTGATCACCAAAGTATAACATAAATCAAGTTTTATTTGTAATTTGTATAAAATAAAGCTTGAATGAATTCGAACAATCTATTGTTTCTCATAGATTTCGAACTCCTTTTTTTTGTTATTCAAAATTTGGTATTAACCAGACCATTATTAACTTGGTTCGCTGAATTTTTTGAATTATTAAGTACCAGTTAGTTACTCGAGGGAGGTGAAGTATCTGGGGGTAACCCTGGATGATCGTCTCTCTTGGAATACCCATATCGATAGAGTTATCGGGAGAGCTACGGCGGCCTTGTGGACGTGTAGGAGCTTCATCGGGGGGATCTGGGGAATTAGTCCCAGAATAGCACTGTGGCTATATACGGCCCTTGCTAGGCCCATCGTCACCTATGCGTCGATTGTATGGTGCCGTAAGGCTCAGCAGGCGGGTGTGCGGGCCAAGCTGGAAAAGCTACAGAGGCTGCCCTGCCTGGGAGTAACCGGGGCGATGCGGACGGCTCCCACCGCTGCATTGGAGGTGATGATCGGATTGCCGCCACTGCACCTCCATATATTGAAGGAAGCTTGGCTGGTGACTTACCGACTTCTCTCTGGCGAGGACGGGGCAGGGCTAAAGTTGGCCCACAGAACTCACAGAGACTTCATTGAGAGCGATCCGATTCTAAGAACAACCATGTCAGATACCTGTCTGCCGCGATACAACTTCGACCACAAGTAAAGGGTTCTGTTTCCTGATCGATGGACGTGGGATCGGGGTGGTCCGGTACTTAGGTCGGGTTCGAGCGTGTGGTATGCGGACGGGTCCAAAACGGAGTCGGGTGTGGGCTCGGGCGTATACGGTGTCCGCCCGGACACGCGTGTATATGCAACCCTTGACCCGTATTGCACAGTGTTCCAGGCCGAAATACATGCAATAGAAATCTGTCTGAGAATCAATTTGGAAAGGGGGTATAGAAACCGAACCATCTATGTGTTCTCAGACAGCAGGGCTGCACTGCTGGCGCTCCGTTCAGCTCAGGTTACATCCAAGCTGGTCTGGAGCTGCCTTGCTGCACTTATGGAATTGGCATCGGAAAACAGAGTGATGCTCATTTGGGTGCCGGGCCATATTGGCCATGCGGGCAACGAAGTTGCCGATGAGTTGGCGCGAAGGGGATCTGGGGCTGCCTTTGTGCAGCCGCTGCCTTTCTGTGGTCTGCCTTCTTCCGCCGTGGGGGCCAGGCTTGCCTGCCTACTCGCGGCGGAATGCGGTCGTCACTGGCGGGACACGAAAGGGTGCCGTCATGCGAAAGTGTTTGTTCCGGCGTGCTCCGGCGGATTCGCTGCGGAGTTGCTGGGGATGAGCAGGAGCCGGGTTCGCACTATTGCGAATTTCTTCACGGGGCACTGCCCGGTGAAATACCACCTGCATAGGCTGGGGAAGTCGGGCTTCCCCCTGTGCAGATTTTGTGGGGGTGGCGATGAGACCGCCGTGCACATTCTCTGCGACTGTCCGGCACTGGCTGTTCGGCGCCGCAATTGTCTTGGACATGGGTCCCTAAGTGTTCGGGAACTATTGTCCAACTCCCTTAGGGATATCTCCGGCTTTGTGATTGGGACGGGGATATTATAGACGGGAGAGTGGGGTGGCTACAATAAGTCAAAAATGGCTGCGGTGGCTTGGGGGGATGCTCCTGTCCCAGTCGGTTCCATTAGAATCTACAATCTACAAGTACCAGTTTTAAATTTCCGTTTTAGATTAAGCGTGTTTAATACTAATTTAAAATTAAATACAAAATTTAGTATTATAAAGAAATTGATCAAATTCGAAAACAAGCCGATCATTCTTCCTTTCTTTATTATTAAATATTTTTTTAAATTTTTAACAAAAAAAAAAAAGAATTTCAATAAAAATTTATTAAAATTTTTGATTTTTCATTTCAGTAAATTTTTCAAAACCCTTTTTCCGATCTTTAAATTCCTTTTTTTTTTTGCATTTTTATTTTATTATATTTTTCTTTTTTTTTATTATCATTCTCTTTATCAGAATTGATGAGAAAATAAAGAGGAAAAAAAATATGTTCAAAGGATATTATTAAAAAAAAAAAAGAAAGAAAACAAAAAAGAACAAAAAAGTGTTAAGGATCTTTCGAAAACTTTTTAATAATATTCGAATATTTCATGGAAGAAGGCACATAACAAAAAAAAACAGCAACTACCAAAAATAAAAAGGGAGCAATTGTAGTTAATAAGTAATCTTTTTTTTTTTTACTCACTCTCTCTCTCTCATTTTCTGTGCATTAATTGTGTGAATTTTAACACAAAGTTTTCTGAAAATTGCTTAAAGGATATAACTAAAAAGAGAGCAAAAATAAAAGGAAACTTAATAATCTTGGGAAATTTCACGTATATTATCGCAAACATACAGAATGCTACTGTATGTATGTAAATATGTGTGCTTGCACACTTTTTTTCCCTCTGTTAATTAATATTAAATTAATTTAATGAATAAAAAACAACAAGACAAAAAAAAAATAAACGAAAATATTTTTTTTTTTCTTCCTCAGTGAACATAAAGAGAAGAGAACAGGGGAAAAAAAAAGTTTTGTAAAAGATGTTAGTTTCAACTTTCAACTTTCATTTTGTTCTGTTCTTTATTAAAACCATTTTTAAATTTAAAAAGAATATTAAAAAAAAATTTTTTTTATTTATCTCTTTTTGTTTTTTTATGTGTATTTTTTACATAAATATGCAAAATGAATTTTTAATTATACTTTCCTTATTTGTTTTTTGTTATAGCCTTTCCGATATACAAAAAAAAAAAAAATTAAATTTTTACCATAATTTTTTAATTTTTTTGCTTTCCTTACAAAAAAAAATTTTAAATTTAATTAGGAAAACCAACAAGAATAAAAATGAAAAAAATTTTCTCTTAAAATTGAAATGTTTTTCTCACAACAAAGAAAAATCAATTTTTTTTTTTTTCTATTGAGAAAATATTTAAAGTTCTTCATTATTATTTAATATTTAAATTTTTAAGACTTTTTCATATTTTTCACCTCAGTGATTACAAAAATATGCAAACAAATCTAATCAAATTAACAATGCATAAATTGAAAATTACAATTTTTTTGGAAATTGAAAATTTTTTTATATAAAAATTTTAAAATATTTTCAATTTTTAAAATTAATTTTTTTATTTTTTACACTGAAACGAACAATTTTATTATAAAAATTTCTGGGAAAAAATTTTCCTCAGTGATTCAAATTTTTTATTTGTAAACTATTCTAATGGTTCACATGAGAAAACCTAACTAAATTTATTAAAAAAAAAAATTGTAAAAATTCTAATTGTTTTGTTATAACTTTATGATTTTATCGTTTTATTCTCAGCTCTAATTTTTAAATATAATAACTAAATTTTAAATATTGTTCCTTTGTTAACAGTTTCTGAGATTCATTATGGAATTGTTTATGAAGTTATACGGTAACTAATTATTGTTCCAGCAGTTATACGGTTTTATTTATTTTTTTTAATGGGCATAGTCGGTCCATTACATTATTTGCCTATACGAATTTTGAAAAAATCTTGAAATATAATTTAATTACCTATTAAATTCCCTTTGAAATTGTATGACAAATACTCGAAATAACGTAAAAAAAAATCATTCATTTAATAAATTTAGTATAGTTATATACAAGTATAATTTAGTATAACAGTGTATTGTTTATTTATTAGAACTTATAGCATTACTTTGTTTCAAACTTGTATGAGTAATAAAATGAAATGTTCATATATTTTGTATAATTTTCTCGTATTACATTCACAACGAGATCTTATTAATTTAAGATTTATTAGAGCGATAGAAATTTATTCAAGAGAAGAGCTTTTAAAACTTTTATAGCAAAATATTTATTTTATCCATTATCTACATAATATCATTATGGCATACGTCATAATTATTTATACAATACGTGTACATATACATTATTCAACGATAACAAAATATTTTCATTCAAGTCTCTTAATTATAACATGTGTGTTTTGTTATTTGTTCCGTATTTTGCTTCCTACAGCATTTATACTGTCATAAAAAAGAGCAATACATAATTTATTATTATCAAGTAAACATATCTAATACTCTCAATCAACGATATTATTAAATAACAAACTAAATAAACAGATTCTTGACCACATACGCGTACACATAATATGTAAACCAATACTGAAATATAAAAATATGTTTTGCTAAATGAGATAATCATACATTCATATCTAATCAGAAATTACAGTATAATGATAATTTGTACGCGTGTTATTTTGATTTGAACACTATTGAAGATAAAATGAAAATTTTTACAACCTCATGCTTAATTTCCAAATACATAGTAAAAATAATTCATGAAAATTAATTCAGTCTTTTGCTGATTATTAAAGGAAAAACAACATTATTCAATTTATATCTTAAAATTTCTGTTTTGTTGGAATATTTGAATAAAGATGACTTCTGAACGCTTTTTTACTTTAAATAATGGTTTAGAAATGCCGAGTATTGGAATTGGAACATTTATGGTAATAAAACTTTGCTATTCTTACTGACATTTTTAAAATATTATTAATCACTTTTATAAAAAAAATTTTAGGCACCTGATCATGAAATTGAAACAGCTTTAGATGCAGCATTAAAAGCTGGATACCGTCATATTGATACAGCACCAGTTTACCTTAATGAAAAAGCTATTGGCAAAGCACTTCGCAGATGGATCGACACAAATCAAGTGAAAAGAGAAGATTTGTTTATTACAACAAAATTACCAATTCATGGTAGAAATATTTTATTTTTACAATATTAAACTTAAAATTAGTATTTATGAAAACAAAAAATTTAGCAAATCGTCCAGGTGATGTTGAAAAAACTTTAAAAAAATCTTTAGAAGATCTTCAATTAACATATGTAGATATGTATCTTATTCATGCCCCAGTTGCTGTACCACAACCAGCAAGTGGTGCTGGTTCTTCATTGACATACGATCGTGATTCCAATGGTAATTTAATTATTGATCCAACAACTGATCATGTAAAAATTTGGAAAAAAATGGAAGATATGATAGAAATGGGTTTAACAAAAAATATTGGAGTTTCTAATTTTAATCAAAAACAAATTCAAAGATTATTAGACAATTCAAAGATAAAACCATCAAACCTACAGGTGAGAATATAAAATTATAGTTCTTTATCATATCATAAAAGTTTATATTTTACAGATCGAACTTCAAGTATATTTTCAGCAAAATGATCTTGTAGACTTTTGTAAAGCAAATAACATTCTTATTACTGCTTATTCTCCATTAGGTAATAGGGATATGGTAAAACGAAGATTGGCAGCGGGAACTCTGTAAGTTTTTTTTATTAATTTTAATTTAACATTCAAAGATGTTTTTTAATAGAAAAGAAGACATAATCCTATTTGAAGATCCAACAGTTGTTGAAATCGCAAAAAATCATAATAAAACAGGAGCACAAGTTTTATTACGTTGGATATTGCAACGAGGTATCTGTCCAATTCCGAAGAGTACAAATCCAGGAAGATTACAACAAAATTTAGATATTTATGATTTTAAACTTTCGGATGATGAAATGAATAGATTGGCAGGATTAGATAAAGGTTTGAGAATATGTGATACCTCGTTCTTTAAAGGGTACGAAAAAAAATATAAAATGATATTTTTAATTGACAAATCACAATATCAATGTCGTAAAAACATTAAAATATTTTTTTAGAATTGAAAAACATCCTGAGTGCACTTGGTAAAATATTCGCTATATTATGAATTTGGCGTTGTCACAAAAAATTGTTTATGTTCACATTCGTCAAACTCTAATTAAGTGGTAATTTTAAATAGATTGTAAAAATAATTTTTGATAAAAAATAAAATTTCTGTATTGTTGCACGTTAATTCGTTTTATATCTACTAAATAACCCTGATCTAATGAAGTAGATCAACGAAATTATCCGTATTAAATTGCTATTGTAACAAAATAATTTTATATCGTATATAACTTCTTTTTTAATTAACTATATTGAATCACAACTCCATTTTAAAAGTTTTTTATATAATTTCGGCTTTACAACTCAATAGTTGACACAATTCCAGCAAAAACTCAAAATTTAAGCAAACATTGTATTCACATTAGGCACAATTATATTAGAGACAATTTGACACACTTAATGATAACAAAATCTGATGTGACCTAATTTAAGGTCAGTTGTAAAGTTTTCTACTACAATTGTTTGAGTTAAAGTGAATAATATGATTTTTTTTTCAAATTAATTAAAAAATAGCTAAAAACATAGTTCAGTTGTTACTCAAAGTTGTTCGAATTTTATAATTACCTACATTAATTGTAAAGCTTTAAAAATTGTTTTAAAAATAAAAATTCCCTTTTTTCTTTTCATAATTATCATAAAATCTTTTTTCTTCATTGAATTTTTTGTTCACCTAAACTCATATACAAATATTATTTGTACTTTTTGTTATTATAGACTGCAATAAGAGAACAATATAAAATACTCAAATCTCATATATAATTAAATTCTCTACTACTTTAAAAAGAGAGAAACGATAAAGCACATTTGATTGTAATAATAATGGTATAGGGGCACAAACTTTTTATAAACTTTTTTGGTGTCGGAAAACTTTTTGGTCTACTTAGTATTATTAGAGGTTATGTAAAAAAAATTCCAAATAGAATAATGTTACTCACTGTAATAACTAAATTGTGCTCACTGTAGCGTTATGAATAAAATCACTGTAGTGTTCCACAATTTCCTGCATTTTAAACAACTCTTTAGCCTATAGCTATCCGATATCTCATTACATCGAATTTTATCGTAATAAGAACACACAAAAAGTTATTTTTAATAAAATATTTAATTCTGTATAACGCTGAATCAGCTTATTATTTTTCATTAAATTTAATTGTTGACGTAAATATAAAATTAGGGATGAATTAAAAATTAATTACTATTTTAGTATTTCAATAACACCTAATTTAGTGTTGCCACATTATAATGTCTCTATATAAGTAATAATTATTTTATTTTTCACTGTTCAAATTTTACTGAAGAAATGAACCACGTTGCAGAAGAAAAACTTGAACTGGATAGCCGCTATAAAATTTAAAAATTAGCAAAACAATAGTTGTTATTGAACAAGTAGAACAAAAAGTGAATTTGAGCAATCGGTAAAATAAAAATCGAAATCTATTCAATGAGCAATCCATTCAGAACAAGCATATTAGTGTTACGTTAAAACTATTTAGTTTTCCAATTAGTTTAACATTTCAATAAGAAATTTATAAAAAATTATCAAAATTTCTACATTGAACAATTAAAATTTTAACTCAAATTTTCAGTAATCTTTTATTATTCCTCAAACCGTATGTATTAAAATTTTTTTATACAGTACTTTAAGATATAATATTTCAAATCTAGCTTGTTTTTCATATAGAATTACATTTGTTAACTACATATGTTAACAATAAGTTACAAGTAAAAAAACCAAGTAATAATCTTTTAAAATCAATAAATTCCTGGAGAATTTCTATAAATGCGACCTATTATTTCAAAAATAGATGATAGAAAAATTATTTCCCTCACAAAATCAAATTATGGGTTTAATTCATATAAAGAGAAAATCGTATTTTATTTCGTTTCTTCTACTTACTCTAGTTATTTTGACATTGATTTTTTCCTTCTATAGTTCACCATTTTCAATTATCCTTTCTATCAGTGCGATTCCAATTAAGTAATTAATGTAAAAAGAAAATTCAACACGCAAACAAAATACACGTACCTATAAAAAATAATTGGACTTTGTAATAATTATGAAAACATGATTTTATACTTGTTTTTGTTTTTTTTTTTAGGAATAAACGAACTTCTTTTTTAGTTTAATGAAAATTGTTATACAAAATTACACATTAAACCTCAAGTTACTTTTGTTTTATACCGTAACTATATAAAACTAAGTAAACTTAAAAAAAGTTGGCGTAGTCATAATATTATGGAAATTGTATACTTTCAAGGTTTAACTAATTAAAAATATTTAAAGAAGAAAAATAATGTCGATTTCCGCTATATTAAGTTGTAGGTAGAAAACATTTGGGAAAATGCGCCCCAAAGTATGCAATTTTTTTTAAAATTTAAATATTTTATATTCAAAATTCATTTTGTTACGAAAAAAATAAATGAAATTATTTTGTATTTAACACAAGTAAGGATCATAAGAAAGTTAAGAAAGTAAAAAAAGTGTCATTGAAATTCATTCATTTCTTTATTTGATTGTGTTTGTGATGCTATTCTTAAAAACTAAAAATTCAAATTACTGGATTTAAATACTGAATCTAGTGACAAGTCGACGCTAAAAATTTTTAAATATAACTATGTTCATTTAAGAAATAGACAAAAATTTATTTATCCTCATCAAATTCAATTTTGGTCTTTTTATTCAGGAAAAGGAACTTAAATTTTTAAAAATATCGTGCCGTTTTATTATCGTCATATTTTAATCAATATAGCAGACCACTGTTATGAGTCGAATTAAAGTTATTTATATATAAGTATATATACAGTTAAACTTTTAAAAATTATACATACATGCGTGCATTCATGCAATAGGGAAATCTTTTACTAAGAATTATGAATAAAATTCCAAAGAATTGATCTAATTTTAATGAATACAAAAAAAGGATTCATAGAAAAAATTAATATTGTGATTAAATTATATAAAAAACTTTTTTTTTTGTAGTGATTACAATTTTTCTAATTGCATTAAATATGTTTTTTCATTAAATATGTTTATATATTTAAATTAATCCAAATTTAATCTCTTTAACAAACAAATAAATTGAATGAAATTAATTAGTAAAAAATTTTTATTAATTCCTTTACAGTTATAGGCATTGGTTTATATTATAATTAAATTGTAGTATCAGAAACATTATACTAGTTTAGGTAAATTTTTAATTAAATTTTTTTTTAGCCTTTGATTAAAAAATTACGGGCAAGTCAAATTTACGACCAATTGTGATCTCAATATTTTTTTTCTTTGTAAATTATTATTAATTTATTTAAAATTAAATTTTATTCAAATAAGTATTTGTTGTTTCTTTCTATATGTTTTAAATAAAAAAAAACAATTTATTATTCAAAAATAAAATTAAATTCTAAAACATGATATTCAATTATAATTGGTATTTAAACTTTTTTTTAACTTTTTAAAGCTATTTAATTCAATAAAATTTTGTGTTCATTCAATAAAACAATAATAAAAATAATTTTGTAAGCTTTCAAGTCAATATTAAAATTGAATGAGATAATGTGCTAAATTTTCTGGAACTATATTTACTACACTCACACTTATTTTCTTGAAACAATTTATTTACACTGGGGTCTACCAATGTGTAATATCGTAAAAATATTTAATAAAAATTTCGTGCTAATTTTATTTTTTAAAAAAAATTACTTCCAACCTACAATATCAATCACATTTCTTATTCAAAAACCAATTATTAAATTCATAATTTTTCAGAACAAAAAGGTGCTCTGTGTAAATTACAATTAGCCGAAAAGCACAAATTTCGCGAATTGGAAGTTTTCTTATCGCTTTTCCTGGGACAAAAAACAAATTTAAGACTAAAAAATTTTTAAATTTCTTTATTAGTTTCCAATTACACATTACACACACTGAGGTCTCTCAAGCTATTTTTTAGTTTTTAATTTTAAGGCTATATTTTGGTTATTTTCACGGAAAAGATACTTGCCGATCAACTTCTTATCGTAGACAAATAATAAAAAAGAAAATTTAAATATACTTCTTGAATTATGTACACTAACTTTGAAAAAGAAATCAATAAATTAAATTCTGTTGAGGTCTACTAGAATCCCAGTATGAATATCCCGGGTTAATAAATATAAAATGCGGTTATCAATACCGATATCGTTAAATATAGAAACATTTTATTCGCTGTGTCATTTTTGTTTTGTTTATTTGTTTTTGCGGTTATCTATGCCCACTATCTCTATGATTTCAACTTCAGAAGAAATGTTATGCATTTCACCTTATTATGTAATATAAAATCAAAAGTTCGAATGGAAGTCATAATCAATTTTTATATTGTTAAATCTTGTATCACGGAATTAATGTGTTTAGAATCATAATTCACTCAAAAATTTCTCGCAACATACTAACGACTCATATATGAAGGTATAAGACAAATTCGATTCAAAATTTTTTTTTATAATATTCAATTTAGACAGTATTTTATAAATATGCGGAGGTTAAAAGTTGAAATGACGTATGTATTGAAAATCTTTGAAAATTTTCAAAAGTAGTGTGATATTAAATCACATTGCGAGAAATTACATCAAATTTGGAATATGGCTTAATTTGGCTTTAAAGTTTCTATTCTTATCTAATACAAATTATACAAATTTTCAAAAAAAATGGCTTTTAAATTTTTTTTTTTGCCAAAATTTTTACTAGAGAATAACTTAAATTTAATGTCAATTAATTAATGAAGATAAATTCATTTAAAAACAACATACCTTTAATGGTATTGGTTTAAAAATTTTCAATTAAATTAAATAAAATTTCATCCTTCAATTTGGGTACCTATAAGTATTTCATCGAATTTCTATAAATATGTGGTTAAACATCTCTATTTGAATATTTACCCGTTATACCAATAAATTTATAAACATAAATATATTTAAATTTATTTACAATTAATATTCGTATTACAAATTGAATACTCTTACACATACAAAGAAAAATAAAAATAATCCTAAAATCTTAATTATTTCAACCAAAAATTCAATATTACAATCAAAATATATTCATACATATACATAATCCTTATTCCACCTATATACGTATATGATAAAATA